GATTTGGTTGGCTCTAGCTTTTTGCTTTCAGGTTGGAGCAAGATCTGTTCTAAGTATTAAAGGACAGGGCAACACTGACAAAACCAGGAATTTCTTGGTTAGTGGAGCTGAAGTGTCTGAAAGTTGGCAAAAAGCCCCAAAGGAGGGCTATCAAAGCATTAACCACGGCCATCTTAAATGCTCCAGGCTGTTTGTACTTAAGGCTAAGCTTGTTTTCACCTGACAATTAAGTGAGTTGGCTTGGCCTGAGTACAAGTGACTGGAACATGAGAAAACTTAGCTGCAAAAATGCAGGGCGGTAAACAGCAAAGTTGTTGTTGAAACTTGAATCACTGTATCTGCGTTGCACCATATCGAAATAACGGCACCGTTCAGAATCCAGCCCTGTTCTTCATCCATGAAAAAGCTAGATCCCTCTGCAGTGTTAGCCCAAGTTGAACTTGTCGTGTGGGAAAACAAGAGGTCTGAGTAAAATTTAATCAAGCTAAAGATGTAACAAATGCAAATGTTAACTGTTCACTTTCCATGGCTAATTCCTCAACTTTTGTCAGGTAAAATGTAAGCTCCCAGTTGCCTAGTCTCTGCTTGCTCTGCCTGGATAATCTCCACCAATTTCCTACAGAGAGGTGTACGCATCAGTTCCTGCCACTCACAAGAACATACTGGTTCTTACGCAAAACCAGTTGGAATTTGTTGTTGTAAATTTGCAGTTAGTTACACTGTGCCATGACTATGTTGGTACTGACAGCTGTTGCGCAGATCCTGGACTGACCCCCTCTCCTCTTTCTAGTAGCGGTTGTTTCTCAAGTTCTGATGAGTCTTATTCCTTATTGTTATATTATTGCTATTTATTTCAGCAGCTCTGAACTGACTCCTGCTGAAGCCACCAAGTTTAACTATTAGCTTCACAAGGAATGTGATGTTACATTTCAATAGCATAAGCATATTCCATATCGACTTTGCTAGCTCAACCTACTTGCTTCCCCTCTTTGTTATGTAGTGGGGTGGTCTGACAGCTACTGCCTTACCAAGAAACATATGCTTGTCCTAATTTCTCCCTGTGCTTCCTGTTTTGGGGGGTGAGGGGGTTGTTGTTTTGGTATTGGTTTCTTTTTAATCCCTTACCTCAACTTGAATGAAAGATGTTACTAAAATTATGGGAGATGGATTAATTGTGTGCATGTGCACATACACGGAGAAAGCAAGTGTGAGATGACATTTGGCTTTTGGCTTCCCTGACCCACTGAATTCACTAGAACGTGAGCATGAAGATTTTTAAAGGAAAAATCTTGTTTTGAATACAGCTACTTAACTTCTCTGTGCTTTATTTCATGAAGAAAGAGCAATGTGGATTTGTCTAGTACTGCTATGGTGACAGACGTGTTGGTGAGGGAGGCAGGAACAGTGGAAACACAAAATCTCATGAGATCTGCACAATTTGCTGTTAGATGTGACCTCACCTAGTTTTGAAAATGTTCCAATGAAACAGATGAAAAATGGAAACACAGGATTTAAAAAAAAAAAAAGCTAATTTGCTGAGTTAGTCTTAATTTCCTTAAAACTTGGGACTAGCTTACAGTGGGCAGTCAGAAACTTTTGGTTCCCTATTCAATTGCTATAAATACTTTTTGTAGGGATCTCCAAGAATCTCTCCAAGAATGCTTTTGTTATGCCAACTTTTGGCTCCATTAGCACTGCATCTTTTGACACTAAGATAGCAGGTCTTGCTATAAAAATGTGCTTGTCAACACTGAAGAGGGAGTCTAGACCTCAGCTGTAGAAAGCTGATAAAGCAGAAAAATACCTAGAAATGAACGGGAAAGAGGGACAGTGTGGCAGCATCTCTTGATGGTATGAAGTTGCTCTTGGCTTTTACCCAGGGAGGACACATGCTCTGTATCTACACCATGTTCTACTGGTCAGCCCTGGCCACGTATAAACTCCATGGGATATCTTTGGACACTGTGCCTGCTCCACAGGTCCTTAGCTACTTCTAGTGGGTCTTCCAATTTCACCAGCTCAACCTGTACTTAGAATCCCGCCCCCTTAGGGAGAAACTCCAGCTGAAAATATCCCATATCAGGAGGGAACCACTGTTGGTCAGCCTGCCCAGCCTTCTATCCTACCCAGCTTTTGCTCCCGTTCCTCAGAGTTAAGGAAAAAATGAAGGTCTTCTCTAAGCCAGGTCTGAATCATAGAATCGTCCAGGCCGGAAGGGACCTCCGAAGGTCACCTAGTCTGGCCCCCCCACAGTCAGCAGGCTCGTGTAGTAGACTGAGGAAAGAAGACAAAGCAGGGTGAGGATGCTGCTACATCGTGAAGACTTGCCTTATATATGCAATAACAGCCACCCTTTACCACAGGATTGCCTTGATTTTTGTGAGAGGTTGCTCAGTCAAGGGCACGTTAAGGCCTGTTTGGCCCTGAGATTTCCTTCCTGGCACTCCCAACTATATAGCAAGGCCAAAACAGCAAGAATTGGTCCCAAGGACAGTGTTGGAGATAGAGCACTAGGAGTATATCTGCCAGCACTAGATATAGGAGGGGAAAAAGAGAAAGGAAAACCAGGCTGTGGGCTTTTAAGGGGGCTTTGGCCCCCCTTAAAAAATAAGGGGAGGTGGCAGAAAACCGAAATGCCAGAGGTAAGAACATAGCATAGGAGATTTTTCAGGCTGAGAAGAGATTAACAGGTATTGGAAGAAAGCGAAAGACATGAGAGAATTCAGATCGATGGTGAGATGAGCAGCAGGGAATGTTCTTGGCGAGAAGCATGAGGAAGTTGAACAAAGATGGCAAGGTATGAATAAGCAAACAGAGCTGGGAAGTGGTAAGGGCAGGATTAAATCCAGAAATGGGAAGAAGGTGGAAAGTATATGAAAAAAAATCTAAAAAAACAGTACTTTTCAAATCAGAAATAATAATTTTTTCTTGATGTTAGAAATACATAAACTAAGCAAAGGCAGTGTAAGAATAATTTTATTTAGTATTTTGGTAACACAATGATACATCTCAAAATGATCATAAAAGTTAGCTCGCTTGACAACTGCATACATTCTAAATGGGTGCTACTAAATTTGAGTGACTTCATGGATTATATAAGGCATTATTTGACCAACAGCTATATCGTGTGTGACCCCCTGACAGACAAGAGCAGTGTGAATGGACATTGCATTAGTAGCCAATGCATAGTTAAAGCTTTTGGAAGAGTACAAAATTGCAAAAGCCATTTTTATTAAAATATGAATTGGTGATCCTTGCTTTAGAACAACTTGGCAGTTGTAGGTTATGCCCTTTATGTTTTTTTTAATAATGATATTTACTAAGGTACAAGGAAAATTGTCTTGCTAGTATTTGATCTAATGTAGATCTCCATATGAAAATGCCGCGTATCTTATAAAGCTCTTCACAGGTATAGGCTAAGTTCTGGGATATCACAAGCTTGTACATAATTCAGAAAACACCTGAGATTACTCCTTGTGTATGTAACAGAAAGCTATTTTAGCTCTAAAAAAAAAAAAAAAAAAAAAAAAAAACCAAATTAAAAAAATAGCATTCAGGAAACTAAGAAGATCAGCAGATATGATGAAGGCTGATAATATTTAATGTTTCTCTTGTTGTTTTTTTTTTTTTTTTCTCAGAACATAGTTCAGCTGACTTTAAGTTTCAAATGTGTAATACTTTCTTGCAAATGGGAAAATGATATTTACTAAGGTACAAGGAAAATTGTCTTGCTAGTATTTGATCTAATGTAGATCTCCATATGAAAATGCCGCGTATCTTATAAAGCTCTTCACAGGTATAGGCTAAGTTCTGGGATATCACAAGCTTGTACATAATTCAGAAAACACCTGAGATTACTCCTTGTGTATGTAACAGAAAGCTATTTTTCTAAAAAAAAAAAAAAAAAAAAAGATAGATGCCATATGAAGTCATAGACTTTAAACAGGTACGTTACTATTGTGGGTTACGGAGCAGTCTTTTTAAGCTCGATTCAGGTTTTTAAAATCAGTAGGGAAACTTCTCCTTAAGATCAGGATTGTGTCGTTAACCCAGCTCTTCCCAATGACAGTGTGAGTTCTGCCACTGCTGCCAATGTGACAAAGACTGGCCATCTATCACAAGACCCAGTGCAAATCTTTAGATCTCAGCTTAGGTCTCAGCAGAGCTACTTTAGCGTGTAGCATTGCACCCTTATTTTTCTAGCTCTACTAACACCTTATTCAGTACTAGGCTGAACGTGGCAAGTCATGTGAGGTACTCTCATTTCTGATGGATTTCCTGTGTAATTGAAGGTGATCTGCAGCTCCAAAGAAATGCCCAACACTTTTCAAAACCAGGCATTTACACAGGATTGTTTGCTTCTTAGGGAAATACACGCAGCTTTGTGTATACAAACATTAGCCAGAGGTTCAAGGCCATAAAGTTTCATGTGTGTGTGTTTTACTTTAAAATAATCAGTTGTTGGGTTTAATTTTAAATCCTTTGCCTCAAAAAAATTTTTTTAAAGTACCGGTTCTTCAGCTAATGGGTACATTAATTAGGGCATGTAATGTTAGTTTTCCTTCTGAGACTTTGTTCCAAGCAAATTGTACTAGAAGTACAAAGTTGATTTTTGGATATACCATTTAACTCAACCTAACAGAATGCCGAGCGAGCGGGGGTGTACTTGCTGTGTGCTTTGCTTGTGGCTTGAAAGTTTTAATATAAACGCCCCAGATTCTCACTTCTAAATACCTTGGCCCATGTGGATTTTACTGGACTTACCTCTGTGCCTAGGAACAGGGATATTAACTCTTTACTGGAGAAATACAAAATTCAGTTATACTTTAATAAAACTTCCTAATTCAAATATCTACTTTGTTCATGAATATGCTAAGGTTTGTATCACCCTTGCCATGTGGTGACATATCAAATCTGATTTTTCAAAACGTAATGAAAAGTTACTATTACTAGGACATTCTGCTCATTCTCATACGAAATATGAATTTTATTTTCAAATGTGCTTATAAGCATGTCTTTTATTTTTTAGTAATTTATGTAAACACTTTGGAATACTAAAGGAAAGATTTTACATTGTCATTTTACCAAAAATCATTTGAACATTTATTATTGAGGCATTAATGTATACCCCAGCAGTCAGAACACAGGAGCTGCCGTGTGCCTATGGCAGTAATGTTCTGAGCAACCCTTATTTTAAAAAAAAAAATTATTTTAAATAAGAGATTTCACTTTGGGATGTGGAGTCACTGAAGGCAATCTTGAAGTTAAGGCATAGCGTGTGGACACACAGAAGGGATTGTACAAACAGTTCCTGGAGATGCTCCAACCAGTCAGTAGATACTTTACAATGGTGACTTCTGTGAACAAGCTAGGAAAGAAAAGGCTTACTTTCAAATCGCATATGCTTTATCATTTAATATATTAAACTGTTCCCCTGGCTCTCATTCTAGAATTAAAATGAGGACTGAATTATACCTTGTGCAGTTTTCCTTCCTGGTCTTGCAACTTGTAATATGGGCTATTTTCCAAAAAGATCACCAGAACAAACTATAACTTATTTAAGTCTAAAAAGAGAGAGAGGGATTATCTGTAGATGCAAGGTTTGTTGCTTAGGCATTTGCTGGCAGCTGATTTTCACTGGCTGCTTTCTCTGCTTGCAGTCTTTGGACAGCCTGATCGAGCAAATCCATAGTATCTCTAAGTGTAACATTCAAGGTAAATGGCTTAGGTTTAATGGTCAACCCATAGGTAAAGTCCATTTTGGGGTCCTCGTTTGGATTAGCAGTAAAATTGCACTGATGCACCAGTATGGAGGTAAAGAGAAACAGCTGCACCTTGGATAACTCCTCTCCAATACACCGACGTTTTCCCAGTGAGAAAATCATCACACTACTAGTAAGATCTTTATTGATGAATCCATTCTCATCCAGGAATCTTGTTGGATCAAAATCCTCTGGGTTGGACCATTTTGCTGGATCGTGATTCACTGACCACTGATTAACAAAAATCACTGTGTCCTTGGGAATGAGGTAGCCCATTATGAAGGTGTTGGTTGTGGTGGCATGTGGGATAGTAACAGGCACAAAGCTGCTGAAACGCATGGATTCATATAAGAAAGCCATAATGTAGGGTAAGTGAGGCTGATCTTCAGCACAGGGCAGACGGTCTCTTCCAACAATCCTGTCCACTTCTTCTTGCATTTTAGCCTGCACGTTCGGATACCTGTCATTTAAAGTCAGATGTGTGTACGTACATAATGCTTTCAAGAGATTTTCTTAAAAATAATCCTTGCTGTAAACATTTTTCACAGAACTTCACCCCCGCCCTAAATAATGCAGTTTGAGCAAAGTTTAAATATATTGCAGGAATGTGTAGACTTTGATGGAAAGGTCCGAGAAAAGTCCAGACTTCCCATGCAATGGTGTCAGGTTAGATTTGCTCAGGTATCACTTCAATATTGCATGTAACTGATTCTCAACACTAAAAGAAGGAACTAACTTAAAATGTGCTGAAACTGAATATTCTGATCCAATTTTGAGAATTCATTCTAAAACTAAAATTACTCATCTCTTGTAAATATTGAGCTTTCTTTGGGAATGATTGTTTGGTTTTCCAGCTCTGTATGTGACTTCTAAAACTTAGCATGGAGTTTATCACTAGACATATTGCATATAAATGAAACGTCTGCAGATTTTTATACTGAAAAAAATCCCTTCTAATAATTGTCAGAATAGCTTTATGAACATCCCACTCTTAGTTTGTGTATTCCTTTTCTAGTTAATACCAAAATGTTTTCCTTGTGATGTATTTTAGGATGACTGTCTTGAAGTCTGGATAGTTTGGAAGACTACACAGTAACCAAACAAGATCAAAATATTAGTAAATTTTGCTTATTTTCTTTTGCTTGTCTAAAAGCACGAGTTCCTCCAAGGCGCCTTTATTTGCTCTAAGTATTCGAGTTTGGTTTTCTGTGTCCTTTACCTCCGGCACCAAGATCTGCAAGTTGAACACCGGGCAAATACAAGAAACGGGGAGAAACCCACCGATCTTGCCAACACCGGGCACCGTACCCTTAGCTCGAGGCGGTGCGTATTTGCCCGTTTTTCAAGAAGCGGCGGAGTAGCCAGGGTCTGCCTAAGCCCACAGAGCGTGCGGGTGGTGAAAGAAAAAGCCGGGGCAGACGGACATTCGGCGTCGTGCCTTTTCCTACGAAAGCACCTCCCCGAGCCGAGGTCTGCCCGCGGGAAGAGCCGGTGCCGGTGCCGCGGCGGCGGGGGCCGTGATGGCAGCGCCGCCTGCCCCGGGGATCTCTGCCTTCCCCCGGTCACGCAACGGCGATAAAGGCGCGCGCTGCCGGCAAATTAACATAATAGCGGGTCTGTAACCCGGTGCACGAACTCTTTATCTCGCTTAAGCAGCTGTTATCCCGTTCCTATGATCTCCTTGATCTTGACCTGGTAAAATCGGTTACTCCCAGGGTTTACTCGGCTGCCTTTTTGCCAGCCTGTCTTTACACACCATTACCCCATCGCCAAAGTAGGGTGATTTGTTTTGTTGGGTTTCTTTTTTTTTTTTTTTTTTTTTTTTTTCCCCCTTTCTTATCTTTTTCTGGCCGGTTTCCCAGAGCTCCCGTGTTAGTTAATGGGAGGTGGCTGAGGTTCCCCGGCACCAGACGGGCGACCGGTCCCTCGGACCCTCTCCCGATGGCCGCCCCAACGGCACCGCTCCCCCCGCACCCAGACGTTTGGGCGCCCGTTTTGGGCCGGCTGCTGCCGCCGGGGGAGCCTTCCCGGCGGGGACTGTGCCCGTGGGGCACCACGTAAATGAGTTTTCTCCCCCCCCTCCCCGGGCTGACCCCCGGGGCGGATGAGGCGGCGGGGTGAGGTCCGCCCCGGCGGCCCCTACCTGATGAGGAAGATGAGGAGCCACTGCAGGGCGGTGGAGAGGGTGTCCTGGCTGGCGCCGAAGATGTCGGTGACGGTGGCGGGCACGTGCTCGAGCTGCAGCCGCGGCTGCTCCCGCTGCAGGCGGATGAAGGCGTCCATCATGTCGCGGGGGGCCGCCCCCGGGCGCAGGCTGCGCTGGTGCTGCAGGAACTTGCCGCGCACGAAGCCGTAGAAGTCGCGGTTGAGGTCGCGGAAGGCGCGGTAGGCGGCGCGGACGGGGCTGGGGAAGCGCTGGAGCCAGGGCAGGGCGTCCACCAGGCTGCCGGCGCCCACCGCCCGCCCGAACTGCTCGTTGCGCCCCACCAGGCGCAGGAACTCGCCGTCGCCGTGGCTGTAGCGGCGGCCGAAGCAGAGGGCGCTCATCACGTTGGCCACCGCCACCACCAGGACGCGCGAAGGGTCGAGGAAGGCGCCGCCGGCGGAGCCGCGCACCAGCAGCGCCACCAGCGCCCGCGCCTCGCCCACCAGGTGCCGCTCCAGCAGGCGGCGGGTGGCGGGGCTGCCGGTGGAGAAGGCCCGCACCGTGGCGTGCGCCGCCCGGCGGTGCAGCTTCCACAGCTCGGAGTAGCCGCCGAAGGCCAGGCTGCGCCCGCCGGACACCAGGCGAAAGGAGGGGAAGGGCGGGCGGCCGGCGAAGGCGGCCCCCTGGCGGACGAGGGCCTGCCGGATGGCGCGCTCCCCGTTCAGCACCACCACGGGCCAGCGGCCCAGGCGCAGCTGGAAAACGGCGCCGTAGGTGCTGGCCAGGCGGGCGAAGGAGAGGTGCGGGGCGCTGCCCAGCTGCGCCGCGTTGCCGATCAAGGGCCACGGGAAGGGGCCCGGTGGCGCCCGGCGCTGGCCCTGCCGCCGCCGCCGCTGCTGCTGCAGGAGGAGCTTGCCCAGGTGGATGGCGGCGAGCAGGCAGAGGAGGAGCAGCAGGGAGCTTTGCAAGGGGGGGATGCCGCGCAGGGCTTCCCCGAGCCTCTCCAGAGCCATGCTGCAAGGGAAAGGGAAAGGTCAGCGGGCGGCGACCCTGCCCGAGGCCGGGAAGATCCCCGTCGCCCGCAGGCGGGGAAGACGCGGGGTCCCGCAGGGGCGAGGGGACAGGGGCGCGCTGGCGTGGCGGAGGGGAGCGCCAGCAGCCGGCTCGGCGCTCGGATTCGGGGAGCTACGCGCTCCTCCTTTGCCTCAAGCCCGCCCGGGTCCTGTGCGAAAAACAAGGCATAATCGATAATTAAATGGCAAGCGTTCAATAAGGGCTCAAAGTCGTATTTGGCGGCGGGGCCGCTGCTCTCTCCCCCCGCGGTAGGGAAAGTTTGCAGCGGGGGACCCAGAAGGTCGCGACTGAGAGAGGCAGAAAGGGAGGCAGGAGGATGCTCTCGCCTACGAGCCTCCGCAGATGCAGGCAGCTGCCGTGCGCTGGAGACAGGTTCATCCCGGCGCTGCACATCCCTCCTCCCGGCGAAACGAGCCCCTGCGAGAAACGCGCTCCCCGCGCTGCCGTCGGAGCTTCCCGCTGCTCCAGAGAGGAATCCCCCGCACATGGCCACGGAGCCCCCTCTGTCCCCAGCCCTTCCCTCCTCCCCGCACCTTCGCGCCTGTCGCGGCAGCGCAGGCTGGCGGCCGGCAGCCCCGGGGATGCCCGAGGTCCCGGCGTGGCCGGGCTGACCGGTCCCGCTTCCCATCCCCGCTCCTACCGTTTGCTCCAGCCTTTCTGATGCAGCGAGGGGAAGAAGGGGTGAAATAAACGGGCACCTCGGGCGCCTGTAGCAGAACTGACCTGTTGCACGCTGCTTCCATCCGAGACCTCGGGGAGGATGGAGAGGAGCCGGCGGCAGCTCTAACGGGCAGCTCCGGGAGGAGAGCGGCGACGGCGACGTTCAGATCCCGGTCTCTGGGAAGCTCATTAGGAGCCCCAGTTCCTGTCACCCGGAGCTTGGCAGGTCATGTGCAGGCAAATGCCAATTGCACCCGATCCCAGCGCAGAGTTATTATCACCTTCCCAGCGCTTTAACCCTTCGGAGCTCGCCCCGCCGGCAGCCACCTGCCCGGGCTGCCGACCCCTGCCTCCCACCCGCCTGCTGGGCTGCGGGGACGGGATGGGGCCACCCCAGCCCGCTGCGGGGATGAAGGCGAGCGGTTCAGAGGGCGCGGGGAGGACGGCCCGCTACCCCCGGGCTCAACGGGAGCTGGAGCAGCCGCGTCTGGGCGCCTGGCATTGGTACTCGCGGCTTTAAATCCGCCGGCATCCGCGGTGCGGTGCGGTGCGGGCGTGCCGCAGTCGGCTCCGCTGGCCCTTCCCCTGGCTGGAGGGGTCGCAGCTATTTGCCAGCTGCCCTTGGGCCCTCGCCAAGCGGAGGGGCTGAGCCGCGGACGCTTTTATGGCCGGGGCCAAAAGTTGTAGCGGAGGAGGTGCCGGGAGGGGAGCGGGGTGGCGGGCGGGCTCGCAGCCCTCTCTGCCGGCAGGGAAAGTCGCGCCTGCATCTTGGGGGCTGAGGAAGCCGGAGAGCTTCCCCTCCTCCGCCTGTCGCCTCCCCGTTGCGTGCCGAGTTTGCATTGCGTGAGCCGGGGCTGGAAAGCCTCCAGCCATCTCCTCCCCGGGCCCCTACCCCTCCTCGCAATACCTGACACCGGCTCGGGGGGGAAGGAGGCAGGGAAGCGCCCGACCGGCCCCGCTGCCCCCCGGCCTCGACCCGCGCTCGCTGCTCTCCCGCTCACGGCGCTTTTTTACGCTTCAATCTGGCACCTCCGCCTGCCCCCGGAGAGCTGGCGAGCGGCGTGCGGAGCTGCAAGCTCCCCCCCGGGGGAACCGGGGCTGCAAAACCCCCAGGCGTCAAGGAAACCGTTCCCCGAGAAGTCAGAAGGCTCTTGCTTTGTTGTCGTCGTTTTTGCTGTACCAAGCAAAATTTTAAAATACAACGTTTTTTTCAGATTCTCTACAGTCACGTCATGAGAAGAAAAGAAAGTGTTTTGGTAGCATTTAGGGATTAGATGAAATTAGATGCTGGGAGTCAGCCCAGCTCAGGGTGTGAACCCAGGTCTGGCCAGGCTGCTACTGCTTCTGTCTTTGCTTAGAAGTGTCATCCTGGCTGCTGTCACTGTCCCGGGCTCCTCCAGTCAGCAGTACTACCTCTTGCTCAGACTGGCATCAGCCAGATCTCTCTGTGTGCCTCAGAGTGCACTGTGCTTCTTCCTGACATTGCCAAGTGACAGAGGTGTCAAAATCACTTTTTCCGAGCAGCCCCAGAAAAAGTGACCTTCCCTCTTCCCAGCCCTAGCTCTGGGGTGAACTGGAAGGATCCTGCAGCCCAGCCCAGCACAAAAAGGAGCATAGATAACTGCATCCCTACGGCTTTAAGGTTAGGACATGCTTGGAGAGAGACTAGGTAGTTTAGTCTCTCCATCACTATCAGAAGGCTGAAACCAAATGTCCATGCTGTAACCACTCAGATGTGGCAAAGTGGCCTGTCCCACATTGCTGGCCACTCTTCTGTCTTTCATCGGTCACATGTCAAAGAAGAGACACGGGCTTCTCCCCACAAAGAGTGTTCTGGCCACTGGATCTGGGTGGTAAGGGCTAGCTTGGGTCAGTTACCTGAGATCTGGATTATAGTCCTGGTCATTTGCCATTGCCAGGAGGCAAATTTGCCGTTTTCCTGGTGACTAAGGTAATCAGCTGCCTAAAACCCAGGCATTGCAGGTCTTTAAGTCCCTAAATGCTTTCTTCGATGCAGCACTTAAACTTGTTGTTTTGCAAAGTGGGAGATTGCTTTTTGGAGCAAGCAGAGCAGATTACATTCCAGCTCCCATGTAAATCTGAATTTATAAAGAAACAGTGTCCCCAGGGTGTCCAAACTGGTTGCAATTGGTAAGAGGAAGAACACCTCAGCATGGGGCTGCTGGAGGTGACCTACTGCAAGTGACTCTGCACCCACCTCACTGTTTCTCATCCGTTCAGTGAGTGAGCATCAATCCAGTGCACTGTAGGCTTTGCATCCTACTCACATTTTTTCCTCAACATCGTACTGGAAGTGGGATTGCTTCCTGGATGCTAGCAGGCAGTACAGAGGAAGGAGCACATTTCCACTATTATGAGCTGCAGATTCACAATTTATGGCCCGATCCCAGGAATTACAAGTCCTGGTGCATTATTTTTTTTTTCTATTTCACTTCTCTTTGGTCTTCAGGAGTTCTGTTGCTATTAGGTAGGAGAGGAAGAATAATCTATTTTAGATGTTTTGTTCTATTGTGGTAGTACCAGCTGGTCCCCTTGTACTATGTGCTGTACAACCAGGATATTTATAGTCTTGATTTACTATTGCACCTATTATAGCCTGAGTATTACTTTGACTGTATACAACGAATGTTCACCCATTTTTCTAGGCTTTCATTCTGGGTGACCTTGATTAGTCCCTTACAGTCAAGCATAACTTGGGTGAAGCATTTTATCACATCAATGAATTGGTGTGATAGAAAATGCAGGAAGTGAGTGATCAGGCTCTTGGTCTCTTATATTCCACAAATTGCCCTCCTGCCTACCTCTTTATTTACTCTTCTAGCTTCTTTTGTTTCTTGAAGTATAGGAGCTCAGAATTTCTCTTAGATAACGTGTGTTTCTTTTTTCCCAGTCCTAGTGACTTAATTGAAGCCAGTTAGTTTTGTCAGGCATTGAAGACTGAATCATTGAAAATGTATGCCACCTAAAATGAATTGTTTCTGAGGCATAGAAAACCCTACTTGATGTAAAATATGGAAGAGAAAAGGAGTTGAAAGGGCAGAAGTGGGTGCGTTTGGGATTAAGGGAAAGGAATTCAGGCCTAATCTGTTAAAAATCCTGATTGATTTGACAGGAATGCCAGACACAGGGGGTTGGCAGAGTCTGGGGAAAAATCAGTACCTTTGCAACTCTGAATTAAGGTGCTTTATGTATGTGGACAAAAGTCCTGCTTGTGGAGGTAAAAGTTTGATAAAGGAGGAGGAATTATACAACCTGGAGAGTCTTCACTTGCTCTTTGAGAGGAAGTTTTCATATCTCTGCCACGGTTGCCCCTCTTCCAAGGAAAGCCTGTAACCCCTAAGAGATTTTTTACAAGTGTTAGTAATCACCTAAATAAGCGTTTGCAGACTCAATTCTAAGTTTTCCTTCTAACTATGGCAGATGTCATCTTTTCTTTTGGACGCTGGCAAGGTCCTCATAAATCCTCATGAACAGCAACTGGAATTTCTCAAGGTCTTGACCTTGTTCCGTTTTCTTTCCTTACCTTTTCCTTTTGCAGCTTTCCATGGAGAGCCCTCCCACACTGGGTTTCTCTGTCTCTTTACCATACCTGGAACCATATATCTTTTTTTCCTCTCTCTTAATTTTACAGAATCTCAAAATGGTTTATATGACAGTTAAGCAATGTTTTATCCTGGGATTGCTTCATTACAGAGTTTGTAGAAATTGTTTACAGTTTATACGGTGATCCAAGCCATTCTTCATTAAATAATCCCTTGGAAGTATTGTTCCTGATTGTCTGTTTCTGAGTGTTGCACAATACTATATAAGATGAAGAACCGAGTATCATAACTGTAAAACACAAATCACTTGGAAATTTAAACAAATGCAATATCCTATTGTTTCAGGCTGCTTAAAATTGTACAGGCATTCTGTACCTCTGTACATTGTACAGGCATACGTACCTCTGGAGTTTGACTAGTCTCAACAGTACTGCTGTAAATCAGGAAAATCACCATCAAAACAATCAGATTACAACCAGAATGAGAATCTGTAAGCCTCCATTTTTCCAGCAGCTCAGGTTATGTTCACAGTGCAATCCAGCATGATGCAGAGTTACCACTACACTTTAAGTTTCCAGGAGCAGAAGGTCTGCACCAGGCACTCAGTCCAGACCCAGTGCCACACAGCGCCAGCTCAGCAGCCACCATCTGTGCTTGCTGCTCTGCCCCATAGAGATGTGCCTGCTTGCTCGGGTTTATCTACACCGTACTGAACTGCTCAGTGTTAAAACTAGCCTGAGACTGGAGTGCCATGAGTGTGGATGATAATGAGCTCGTGTCTGATGCAGGTTCCTGGTTTTGCTCAGCTTGGCAGCTTTCTTGCGATGCCAAGCATGAGATATAAGCAAAATACAAGGAGCCACATCCTGAGAGCTGCTCAGAGTGCCAGGCATACATGGGACTCAGCTGTAGCTCCGTGATTCAGGGTGATATACTTAGGCCACTCACTGTGGCCTAAAATAAAGCATTTGTGGTATGCTTTTTAAAGCATATGTATTTGTGGTTACATATCACATTCTTAACCTTCATTAACTTGCAGCTTTTCTTGGACTTTCAGTCTTCCCTGCTTTCCCACTGACTTGCCAGCTCACATTTTCAATTCTTCCTTGCTATTGAAAAGCCTAAATTGGGCTCCTAATTCTGAGCCAAATTCCCCTAGCTGCTGTGGGAAGGCAAGAAACCTCCCAGTACTGGCTAGGGCTCAGCTTGGTGCTGGTCTGAACTGGAGCCTCTCCATCTGTTTGCATTTTCCATGTTACTTGCAAATTAAGGGCCTACATTGCGGTCTGCTTCCACACAGGTAACACACAGGTATGATTACAGAAAATGAGGACATAGCATTATACTTAATTCAGGCATCAAACTTGATTATGAAATTGTTTTAATTTTGCATTGCCAAATTCCTACACCATTTTTTCCAAAGTTTGCTGTCTTTTCTTGACAGTATCAGATGAATCCACATAGCTAAGTCTTTCCTGAGAGGAAAACAAAGAGCTAGTCACTCTGTGGCTTCCATTTGAGAAGGTTTTTTTAAACTGTCTTCTGCTCTGAGGCAAAAGAGCAAAATCTAATTTACACATTGTTGGAGACTCATCCATGGCAATTTTGTGTGTCTTTTAATTTATACTAAATAAATGCTCTATATTAAAGTACTGTGAAAGGACTGCTTTGAAGAAGGTGGACAAAACAGCAACAGTGAGGGAAGTTTAGATGCTGTTCAAGGTGTGCATTATTGTATCTGTCCTCAACCTGTGACGTGGGCAAACTGTTGTGCCTGCTCACTCTCCTTGTGGAGCAAAGGGGCTCTCTGGGGCATCTGGCAGCTTTCCATCCTCACACTGTTTCTGAGGTTTGCACAGCCAAGAGCTGTTTTGCCATGATCCATCTTTATTTTGAAGTACAGAAAACTTACAGTCTGTATGATGTGCTAGAGGTCACTCTAAAGCTTAAAAATGATAGCATTGCTTAGGGCCAATATTGTTAACATGTTAACAAGCAGTAATATTATATTTCTTGTTTTCCAGGCTTTATTGGGTGTTTTATTAGTAGTGGTGATACAAAGTTTGTAGTTTGCTTGCTTTACTAGTTCTTAAGAGTTTAGAAAATGCCAGTGTGCTTGTATACTCAAGTGTAGTAGTGGATGCTCGATCAAAACAGCCCTGGGCTACAGCTGAAAACAAAGTCTACCTCACCCATGGGCAGAACAATATTCTGTAGGTTTGAAGGTTTT